CACAGTCTTTCTCGCTCGCCCTCTTGAGCTCGCCCTCTTGAGCTGATCAACCCTGCCGCATTTTATGCTTGTTTAATTATAAAACTTGCTACCAAAATTCATATTGTAATCATTTTCAACAGCTCTTTCCCTCTCTATGTTGTTGTTGTTGTTGTTATTGTTGTTGTTCTATTTTTTTTTTGTTCCTTTGGTACAGCCAACGAGCTTATGTTTTTCTCTGCTGCTTACAATATTTCATATGTTACGGAAATCCTTGATGAAACTTTAAAGTGTTTTTCCTCTGATGCTTGTTCATGCAGTGCAAAGCGAGCGTATTAGTTCGAAATGTATAGATCTCTCTCTCTCTCTCTCTGTCTCTCTTTATAGCTTAGTCTGCTTTGAGGCAAGGCAAATTGCAGAATTCTTTGTATCTTTGTACACCTAAAAGTTTTATCGAGAGAACTTCAATATTTGAGAGACGTGACGTGAGAGACGAAACTTGCTCTTGAGACTGATCAGATATTTTATGTACTTAATGGGGGCGTGGCAAGTTGAAAACAACTCAAACTCATTTGGCTTCAAGTTTCAGTGTTGAGCTCATCAAGTTTCCAAGCTAGTTCAGTATTGAGATTGCTCTATAGCCAGGAGCTACTAGTAGCTGCTCTTCTGGACACATCAAATCTAGAAATTCTCATTTTTAAATTGTTTCTCTCATGAACAGGCATTGTGTAGTCGCTTAAGCTCAATTCCAGCTTCACACATGTTGCTTTAATATTTTTTTCGCTTTTGTATGCATTAATTTTTGATTTTTGTTGTTTTCCTTTGTTTGCATTTTGAACAAATATTTGTTGCATGCACCACACACGCACACACATGTGTAAGGCAAAAATGTTATTTGTTATATATGTTTTTTGTATACAATTCGTTTGTAAAATGTAAGCAATGGTAGAAATAATATTTTCGTGGCTCTTTGATTTGGTGAAAACAAAACAAATTACATAAAAATTGTAATAAAGTAAAAGCAAGTAAAGGTAATTTAAGAGTAGTTGAAATATGTATGTATATGTGTATATATGTACAATTTTATAGATGACTTTAATATTCATTTTCTCCACTTTTAAGTTGCCTTTGCATATGTCATCTAACTGTGAGATCTGTTCGAAAAGTTTCGCCAATTTTGTATTTTATTTTAAAATATTTTGCTCGCTTCAAGTTACGCCCAAGACATACCTTAGACTTGTTAATGTTTGGTCCAATTCTCACAACACTTAAAAAAATTATTAGTCACTTGTTTTGGCCAACATTTTGATACAGTTTCTTAGCGCCATTTTTGGGAATAGACAAAAATCAAAAACAATGCTGTGTATTCAGAAAAGTTGAACTTGTCGGCATAGGTCTGGGAAATGAGTACCAAATAATCGAAAGTCGCATATGCGTAGCCTGTCTGCAGTCAAAGTTGCCGTTACTTCTACCGGCTATCGATATATACAACTGTGTTCATAAAAATAGTAGTGCAAAATGTTGGACAACAAAGTCTAAAGACAAACACAATATTTTGAAATGCATATGAAACAAATATTAAGATAATTTAAAATTTTATTAATTTAAATTTTATTTATAATTTTTCTTTACAAACTTGGGCACATGAGCAGTTGAAGACATAAGAACGAAAAGTTCTCATCATATAGCTGTTCATAAAAATAGTAGTGACTATTAAGAAAATCATAAAAAATATATTTAACTTTAGTCTAACTTCATTATGTTTTAAACACACTTTCTGAACAGATCCGTATATATATAAATGATATATATCTATAGGTATATCTCATCTGTCTCATAACTCAAATTCTTAAGTTTCACTTTAGTTTCAACTTAATATCTCAATACTAATTTACTGTAGTTTTACTGTAGTTGCTGCCACAATGCAAGTGTCTTTGCGGCCTGCAACTGTGGCATAAATAATTAAATTTCATTTGCAGGTTTAGTTTTGCACTTCGAGGAATTTGGCACAGAAGAAAAAAACGTGACAAAAATGTTTGCTTTGATTTAGCCAGTCAGAATGTTGCACAAACAGAAAGAGAAAGATAAAGGGAGTGGGAGAGAGCAAAGTAGCTTCACTTTGTGGTATGAAAAGTAATGCAATTCGCAGAATTTCAATCGATGTGCTTTGACAAGGCATTCGAAATATTACTTTGCATTCAACTTCTAAATGCCAAGCATTGCAGATAGTTTTATAAATATATATATTGAGTGTGAGTTGCAACGGTAAATTGCATTTGAACAATGGCATAACAGTTTTTATTGCGGCAAATCGGTTTTTATTCTGCAATCAGACCTCAATTTAATAAATGTAGCCAGCAAGCCGAAGCCGAAGCCGAAGCAAGTGCAGCCACAGACAACGAATTTGGTTTGCCTTTTTTTAGACTTTGGCTAAATCGAGTGGGGAAATGGGGCATATCGATTTGGTAGCAGCAAGTGCAGAAGCATATGTGAATGCTTAAGTAGTTAAGTGTAAGAAGTATAAGCTTAAGTAGAAGAGTAAGACTTCTAAGACTTCTAAGACTTCTTTTTTGTTTTACTCGAGAACTCTAAGTGCTAGAGCTAACAAATTTGGTATCTAGTTACTCGCTGTGTATACATATATAAAAAAAATAATTTTTTTATATTGCTATTGCCTTAAGATATACCTAAACATAGCTCGAGAGCTAATACTAAAAGTTTGTAACATATCTTAGGCATAGCTGGAGAACTTTAAGAGTCAGAGACATAAGATTTAAACTCTAGGTTATCATTAAATATGCTTTAGTAAATAATACCACACTCTTGGCATACCTATAGCATTTATCTCTGTGTATATTATCACTTATATGTCTATAACTCGAGAACTATAGGAGACTGAGCTTGCGCATTTGGTATGTAGCTGAGTCTGAAGTATATATTTCTAAGGAATACATCACTTTTAAAGCAGCGATTACCTTTTCCTTTAGCTAAAGCATAGCTCGAGATCTTTAGCAGTTAAACATACTAAATAATATACAAAAAATAATAAATAATATAATAATATAGCTGTTCTTTAAGTAGAGGCAAATTAATTTATTTTCCATTTAGAAGATCTTCCAGTAACTCCCATTCAAGTATACAGGATAACTGCTAGTCAGGTAGACTTCACTCTGTCGGCTTTGGGTCTTCGGATTCCCTCTGCTAACCAAAGTTAAAAATTTGAACAGTCCAAGAATTTTTGTTTGCAATTTGCAATTTAAGAAAATATTCAAACAGTTTTCCAAAAAGTTCTTTTCGCAGAGCAGCAAAGGTTGAGGCGGATGTCAAATAGTCCAAATGGGCTAAAAATTATTTAAATTCTTGTATTTTTAGGGCAAATGTGTGTTTGAGCCAAGGCTTAGTAGCAGTCATGCACTCGATTCGCATTGTCCATGCAAATCCCAGGCAGAGAAAATTTACACCTTCGGGTGCAGTTTGCAAAGCCCCGGGGATAATCCGCATTAGTTGCACAATGCTTTCGGTTTTTGGGCCAAGAGCGTATTGGGCCGGGCTTAGTTAACTGTTTTAGTCCTTGTCGCCAGTTAGGTTAGCCCCGGACATGGCTTGCCATGGAGCTACGCAAATTGAATCGTGTTTTCGGCCAGCATTTCATTTGCCATTTGGCATTTGTCAAATGTCCAAATGTTAACCTCAATGGACGACAGCAGGACAGGGCGTGTCGCATGCCATATACAATAAAATATGTATTGCATATTGCAATTTTAATTTCTCAATTCATTTTACTGGCCTGCACTTCTTTTACTCTGTTTTTTTTTTTTTCTGTTTTGCCTTCGCACTTACTGCAGCACAGTGGCCCCAGCCACAGGAGTGCCACAAATAACAAATTGCTTGTCATTGGCATCGTTGTTGGCCAACAGCAATTGCAGTCAGTCAGTTAGTTGTGCCAGGCCAGGCCAGGACAGGACAGGCCAGACTAGGCAAGTTGTGGGGTCATTGCATTTACAATTTCAATCTCTATTAAAATTCATTGAATCCCTGGCATTAGTTTGCACTCACAGTGTGACAAAGTCTATGATAATTGCATGAAATTTTCTAGCAGATCGAAGCGAAGAGCAACATGAAAATTGATCAGAATTTATCTTAATTTTAGACACTGGTTTTACTTAACTCTTTGAAAGTCTTTCCACAATTTTGAATAATTTTTTCTTGGGGTAATTCTTACAGATGCTCAATTTAAATCTTGATCTGGCCTGTTTATGTTGATCTATTAGCAAGTCTTGTCGGGATCTATGCTTACTTATAGCCAACTCTATTTGAGATTGATTTTTTGTGAAGGTTTTACATAAAGATTTTTCCAAGTGATAATTTCTTATAGAGGAACTTCACTTGATAAATATTGAATGAGTTAATTGCATTTAGTTTTTTTTCTTAATTTTTTCATATACTAGTTGAACGTGTTTAAGGCTTCTTTAACTATAGATCTTTAAGTGAAGTAATGCTCATAGAAGAGTTGATTAGGTAATTAAAATGTATCTTTATATTTACTGAGCTGTTTGAGTTGATAGAGCTATGACCTATGCTAAGTCAATAGATCAGAAACCATCCAAGAAAAGAGATCGCACACTTTATGCCAACTACACTCAAGTCTTTAAGCTCTAACTCTATGCTAGATCAAAGAAGCTCTTAATAATTGAGCAGTAACTCAAAACAATTCAAAATTTCTATCTCTGTGAAACTTTGCTATCGATCTATCGATCTTCTCTGATCAGCACACAAAACCAGCTTGACTTCAACTTCATCATATTTGTCTCATAATCCACAGTGGAACTGCTATTATAGTGACAAGCACTTGAAGCCTGCTCAGCTCCAACCCTCTGCCATCAGGACTGGCTTCCTGCCTTCAAGCCTCAAGCCTCGATCTGCACAGTTGCAGCTCTTTGCCAGTAAGAAAATTAGTCAACAGCCGATCACATTTACTAAGCTGACTGCTGTATAAAGCAGTTTAGTTCCAGCTCTTTACTTAATCTAAATATGTAGTTATACAGTTATATAGTCAGATGACATAATGCTATTCGGCAGCTATGCCTAGGCTCTTGACCATTTGAGGCACCTTGCGACGCTGCAGCTTGTCGTTGGAGGTTTTGGGCAGTGAGTCGACAAAGTAGATACCGCCTCTTATGTGATAGGCCGAACTTAGATATCGTTCGACAATATTTCGCAGTTGATCCGCTGTCAGTTTCCTGCCCTCCTCATCGGGGGTGCGCACCACGGCGCAGGCTGTCAGATTGCTGGAGACCTCGTCGGGCACGCCAAAGACGCAGGCCTCGCTGACGCCTGGCAGCCTTAGGATGAACTCTTCGATCTGCTCCGGATAGATCTGAAAGTTGTTGTACTTGAAGACATCGGTGTCGCGCGTCAGTATATAGAGATAGCCCTCGCTGTCGAGATAGCCGATGTCTCCAGTTCTCAGCCACTGGCCATCGGGACTGAGGGCTCGCTTGGTGGCCTCCGGATTGCGGTAGTAGCCCGCCCATTCGTAGCGCAAGTGGCCGTAGATGATGCCAACTTCATTGATGCCCAGCGGCATGCGCAGCTTGTCCAGCACGCGCAGCTCCACGTTGCGCATGACCTTGCCCTCGCTGCCCAGGGGACCGCCGAGGTTCTTGCTAATGCCGCCCATCTCAGACAGGCCGTAGCCCACCACGAAGCGCATGTTGCCTATCAGATCGTACATGCGCTGTGAGACGGCCTTGCACACCTTGGAGCCAGCTCCAATGAGCACCTGCACAGACTCCAATTGCGCCCGAATCTTGGGCAAGTCGTTCTGGCACTTGGACAGCAGCGCTATCTGATGGGAGGCAAGGAAGAGGAAGGTCACCTGATGCCGTTGGACAATCTCCAGCAGGTACTCCACGCTGTACGGCCGATGTGTGATGATGCGCTTGCAGCCATTGAGTAGATTGGCCAACAGCATGTAGGTGCCCGAGATCCAGTAGAGCGGACTGAAGGAGAGCACGACTGTGTCCCGGGTGTAGGTGTTGGGACTGTCCGAAAGAGAAGCGAGTTGAATGAACCGGGCTACAGCTAATACTGCTCCACTTACTTCTTGCAGTTGCAAATGAGGCTGCGATGCGAGCGTGTGACGCCCTTCGGCATGCCCGTCGTGCCCGAGGAGCAGACGATGAAGGCCGTGTGATTGCCATTCAACTTGGGGCAGGGCACATAGCTAGGGAGGAGGAGACACCATCAACCTGTGTTGCTTTAGACTCGCAATCAAGACTTACGCAGCTGGCGCTATGAACTGATCCTCCCTCAGAAGATCCCACACATCAAGTACGCCTTCTATGCGCCCATTCACCAGGTAGATCGTGGCTGGCTTGGCCAGCTTTTCATTGACAGCTTTAATAATCTCATAGTTCTCCACATCGCAAAAGATCAGCTTGGGCTCCGTGATGTCAAACATGTACTTGACGGTTGCTAGTAAAGCAAAACTTGAGCAATTTGTAGGGGCATTTTGGAGCAAACGCTTCTTACCCTGATCAAAGTCGGGATGCAATGGATTGATGGGCGTGCCACACAGCATCGCAGCTATGGTGACGCCCGTTAGATAGCTGGTGTTATTAGCTGCAATGCCAATGACGTCGCCACACTGTAGCCCCATCTGCCGGAAGGCCCTCTCTATGGTCAAGCCCTGCTGCGCCAGCTGCCTGCCAGTTAGCTGGACGCCCGTTATATCGCAATGCTGTAAGATCTTGTCCGCATTCAGATTGAGCACGCGCATCGTCACTTCGCCCAGGGTCATTTCGGGGCCGTAGAACTCCTTGCCGCGTGGCCCCAGCCAGGTGCGTGTCGCCGCATCGTAGTGGACTTCACAGGAGCCCATCTTGATGGCTGTGTATTGAATCTGCGACTAAGTGATTTATTGCGTCTCGGTATTGTTTTTATATACGTTTCACGTCGTAAATAGGAAACATATCTCGAGGTGCTAATTATTTCGACACGTTTCCAGACAGATTTCACAGCTTTTGTCTTAATGATTATCGTTGTCAACTTAGCTTCTGTTTAAATAGATGCTGATTTAGGCTTCATGCTGACGTTGCCACAGGTGTTCGACTTAGGAAACGTTTCCATTTCAGAAACACTCCTCATGACTCATCAATTAATGCAATTAACTGGCTTAACGGAGCACAAACAGAACCAGAACCAGAGCCAGAACCAGAAATGGAAGCTGATGCAAGTTCTAAGCAGGGAAACATGAATACGCGTCTGGCGTCTGTATACAAATAAATCTTACGCGACGAACACACCTTTAGAGAGTCTAGACAGTCTGTGTCTAAACACGAAACTTTTCTTTCTAAGAACGTTTAGAGTTTTGCTATTTTTTAGATTATTTTTTGCAGCTCTGTTAAGCTAAGGCTTTACTACGTTGCTACGATCCCTCGGAGTATCTCAGTCCTGTGAGTCCCGAGAAATTCTTTCCTACCATGAACCGTCGGAATTTCGTTCAGACTTTCTTGACAGATCTCAGTTTGTTATTAGTTCATATATTATGTACCCAACTCTCTTCATAAACTAGTTATACGCACCATCCATTGAAGTCGCTTATCAATTTACATAGTTCTACTGAAGTCTCTGACTGACTGTCTCTGACTACTTCTGACTGTAGCTTCCTATGAGAACTCAGAACTTCTAGTGCCAGCTGTTCTTGAACGACTAAATAGTCTACAAATTCTTTTCTTTTAATTGATATATGCGGGAGAATTCAGATTTACCCATAAGGATCCCTCGGAAAACCTTCGCTTCCCCTTCCTTAACACCTTCGGAATACTCACTGCATGAAGTTCTCTTCAACTCTAATTAAAACACCTCTTCTTCTTCATCAATACTTCACACTTTATTGCAAATCGTATTCTTTATAACTGCGTAATACCACACTGTAGCTTAAGCTCTGAGAGAATGCGACGTCTCTGTATTTTATTGTTCGTCGTCTTGGGCAGCTGGTCAACAAAGTAGACGCCACCTTTGAGCTGGTAGGCCTCACCCAGGTGCTCTGCCACAATTTCAAGAACCTGTTCCGCTGTGAGCTTTCGGCCCTCTTCGTTCTGCTCACGCACCACGGCGCAGGCTGTTAGATTTGTGGATACTTCGTCGGGTACACCGAAGATGCCGACCTCATGGACGCCCGGCAAGTGCAATATGACGTCCTCAATTTGCTTGGGGTAGATGGGAAAGTGATTGTACTTGAAGACGTCGGTGTCGCGAGTCTGGAAGTGCAGACAGCCCTCGTCGTCAAAGTAGCCGTGATCGCCAGTCAGCAGCCATTTGCCATCAGGGGACACCGTCGTCTGCGTGTCCTGTGGATTGTGGTAGTAGCCGCCCCAGCGCTGATTGAGCTTTATGTGTATGTGGCCCGTTTGATTGGGACCCAATGCATAGCCCTTGTCGTCGACAATGCGCACTTGGATGTTGCGCAAGAGTTTGCCCTCGCAGCCCAGCGGGCCGCCAATATTTTTGCTAACGCCTCCGACTTCCGAGAGTCCATAGAGCACCGAGAATCTGTGGCTGCCGAGCAGCTCATACAGCCTACGCCATATGCCCAGCGGAAGCTTGGAGCCGCTACAGACAAACGATTGCACCGACTCCAGCTGCTCAACCAGATCCATGCGTTGGCTCTTAGCCAGCAGCGCCATATGATGTGGCACGGTGATCACGAAGCTAATCTGGTAACGGGACACGACCTCAGCGAAATATTCGACGCTGAAGGGCTTATTCGTTATAATGCGCTTGCAGCCATTGACCAGCGAGACGAGTAGAGTAAATATGCAGGAGACCCAGTACAGAGGACTAATGCAGAATATCACGGTCTTCGCGGTGAACAATTGAGGGCTAAAAAAGGAGAGAGCGAAAGAGAGGGAGAGAGAGAGAGAGAAAGAGAGAGATGTAGAAATGTGCATCAGCTAAAGACAGAGAGGGATCCCACTGCCTACTTACTTAAGTAGGAAGTGGAATAGGTCAGGTCGAGAGAGGGGATATAACTCTGTATATAGAGAGAGAGTGAGAGAGCAGGAGAGGTAACTTACTCCCTATTCTCATGTATGTAAGATATGTGTTAAGTAGGGAAAGAGAGAGAGAGGGAGAAAGGGTTAGCTGTTGTCAGGGAGGAACTCTAGCCTTACTCACATTTTGGTATTATTTAACAGACTGCGATGCGAGCGCGTGACGCCCTTCGGCAAACCGGTTACACCCGAGGAGCTAATGATGAAGGCCGTGTCATCGCCGCACAGATGTGGACAGGCATAGCTATGAAGACGGATTAGTGAACGGTCTAAAGCGAAGCTAAACTCTACCTACAGCGTCTTGGGATCGTAGCCATGGGCGCCATCCTCTAGCAGGTCCTGTATATTACGCACTCCGGGCAGCTTTCCACACAGCAAAATGAGCTCCGTCTTGAACTTGAGGCTGTCCTTGACCGCGGCCAGGGTCTCATAGTTGTCCACGTCGCAGAAGATGACCTTGGGCTTGGTTATTTCATACATGTAGGCAACAGTCTCTGCAAAACTCGAATTTGCACTAGCCGAAGGTGAAAGCCCTTCTGAGTCTCGCTTACCCCTATCAAAGTCCGGATGCAGAGGATTAATGGGCGTGCCGCTTAGGAGAGCAGCAATAACCACCTCTGTGAGGTAGGTGGTGTTCTTGGCCGAAATTCCAACCACATCGCCGCGATGCAGATTCAAATGCTGAAAAGCGTGCGCCAAGCGGCGACTCTGCTCATACAGTTGGGCTCCAGTCAGAGCCTCCCCAGTGGGCTCGAAGACTTGCATCACAGTGTCCGCATGCAGCTTAAGTATGAGCATAGCCACCTCTCCTAGGGTCATGTCGGGTCCGTAGTACTCCTTGTCTTTGGGACCCGACCAGATCTTCTCACTGCTATCGTAGCTAGTGGATGCCATTTCCAACTCCAACTCTAAAACACAAGCCAAACAACTGAGCGGATAGCTGTATATGTGGCCTATATATAGGCGACCATAGCATCTATCTGTCTATCTGCTAATTGATCCAGCACGTTTTCTGTGCCGCAAGCCCAAGTCGTAGCCGGCGCCGATGACGTTGTCTTAGACAAGGTTCTAATAACATTTATCGACTGAACAGCGCCAGAAAATGATAAGTCATGTAACATATCTATGTTTATTAAGACTAGACTAGACGCTACGCGAGGCAAAGCCACAGATCGCAAGTGGAATGGGGGAAAGTGAGGCAGATCCAGAAAGATTGCAAATAGAACTGGAGTATTCCACATCAATATCTAAATTAATACCTGGATGAGAGCGACATTTTGCTTGATATGGGAAAATGAGAGTGAGAGCTGGATGAGAAGAGGAAGAAGAGAGGGAGGAAGAAAGGGAGAAAATGACGGAAAAAGTGACAGACAGAGAAATAGAGACATTGAGGGAGAAAGAGAGAGAGATGGAAAGAGGGAGAGATGGAAAGAGGGAGAGAAGAAAGAGCGAGAGAAAAAAGAGAGAAAGATATAGAGAGTGAGAATGAGAGATATATAAAATGAGATTAAGCGGGAATTGAGGGAGTGAGAAAGATAAAGAGAAAGATTTAAAGATAACGAAGAGATATAAAGAGAAAAAAAGAGGGAGAAAAAAGCAGAGTGAAAGAGACAGAGAGTAATATTAAAAGAGAAAAAATAAGAAAAATATAATCAGAGAGCGAGAAAGACTTAAGGTGATTATGAATAAAGAGAGAGAAAGACAAGTAATCAAAAGAAAGACACAAAGAGAGAGAGAGGAATAAAGTGCCAATAGCATAGAGAGAGAGGGACAGAAATAGAGAAAGATAATAGACAGAAAGAGACAGAGAGGCACACGAAAAGTTAATGAGAGAGACAGAGAGAGGGAAAGAGTTACAATTGCCTAACTGATGAATGATCCATGGACAGGTCTAAATGAAATCTGGTCAACAAATCACATGGGCCTTTTTTACTGAGTTGCACCACTGTGCGCCTGCGGCTGGATTGCATAATTTTAGCGATTAAACACAGTTTGATCTGCTGACACACATGTTCTGGCTCTCTCTGTCTGCAGCTATCCCTCTCTCTAGCTCTGTCTCTGTCTCTGTATCGCTGTCTATCTCTGTGCAGCTGTCGCTTGTGTCTGCAGGACTTGTCGCCGTTGCCGAGGCGCATCCTTGATGCGTGTGCACGCTTCATTTGCGTGCTTAGTGAGGAAATCAAGCGTGCGCTGCTTCACAGTCACAGTGACAGTGACAGCCACAGTCGCAGTCGCAGTCGCAGCAGTCACAGCAGTCACAGCAGCTGCCAACCCACGCAGCTTTGCCTTGGAGGCTTGCAACTTCATTGGGGTCAAAGTTGTTCAGTGTCAGGTGAGCCAGGCAGAGGCAGGCGGCAGCAGTCGACGAGCTGATGTTACCTGTCGCTGGGCTTGTCGTTTAGCTAGTTTCAAGGATGGATTGTAACTGTCTATGCGAGTGTCTCTAGGTGCAAGACTCAGGTTAAAAATGTATGTGCAACAAAGTTTATTTATTGATTTTGCTTAAGCCTTAAATTTTGTTTCTTTTAGCTTTGCCTAAACAACAAAACAACTTAATTAATTACACGGCCCGCTAAATGTGCAACACAATAGCAATAACAACAGCAACAACAACAACAACAACAACAGCCACTGTTTGATGAACTGCAACAACAAGAGCTGCTAATAAAAGTTTTGGCACAACTTTGATATTGGCTTTTGATGAGGTCATTAAACAGTCAAGCAACAAAAGCAAAAGCAAAAGCAAAAGCAAAAAAGCAGCCAGCACAAGAGCAAGCAGAGCAGACAAGTTGACAGCGGCTATGGCTGACTACTGAATACCCTAGAGAGTAGTGGAAAATGGAAAATGGAAAATGGGCTGCGGATGTGGGACTTTTAGATGAGGTGTGGCGCAAGATTAAATAGAGTTAAATAGAGACTTGTATATACTTATAGTACTTAGTACATTATAAACCTATAGATTATACTTTCATATCATAAATATATATATATCTATATATATATATATTTATATCATGTGTCATATACCTGTATACAAATGTTATGCATATGAACTGTCATATGTATATCATATATAGCTTATATATAGAAGCTCTTTAAGCATTAAGATCTATGGCTTTACTTAGATATATGTGTTCTATGCTTATCTAGACCAATATCTATCATATATCTATATATGTCCCATATAGTCTATATAGATGTCTCTATATAACATACATCTATACATAGGCTATGTAGTTAAATGTGATCTACGCTTATCTAGATAGCATATATCCACATAGCATATAGCTATATATGTCAAATATAGTCTATATAGGTATCTCTATAACATACAGCTATACATAGACTATATAAAAAGGGGAGATTCATATTTGATTAACATATTCTTATTATTATTATTTGACAAGATTATTCTTATTATTAACATATTCTACATATTCCAGCTCTGCTAGTTGACTGCTGCTTACAGGGTATCTTGATGGCAACTAGAGGATATACTAAAGTTTCGAGTATGCTGACCTCTGAGAGAGACTTAGGAAAACGAAAATGTAACTATGCCTAGAAAGTTATAGAATCTTTTTATATATATCATTTATATTTATATATTTCATTTTTATATTGTCATATTTATATATCACTTTATTCTATAAAATTCACTAATCGAGATGTTTTAGTGATAGAGTAAATATAACTATAATGCAACGATTCCAACAAATTGACAAATTGTTAATATGAAGATTGATGTTTCTATAACAAAATATCTAAGTAAAAGGACAGCTAGATAAATCTCATTGTCATAGGCTAAATACTATATATCATAACAAGCCATTTAGGCTGATGCAGCATTCGATTATACCCGTCTGCAATGCCCTTGCTCTAGAGCAACTAGGCTAGAAGCCGGTTTCTCTATGCTGCTGAAATCTCAGCAATTAAGTGCGAGAAATTTTGCGACACAGCGCCAAAGTTAGCAATGGCTCGCCGAGGCAGCTCTAGTCCCTCTAGCTCCCGCTCGCTCTCTCTCTCTCTCTCTCTCTCTCTCTCTCTCTCTCTCTCTCTCTCTCTCTCACTCGCGGAAAATGTAATCAGACTCAACATTATAATTAACCGCAAATGCAGTTATGCCCGCGAGTCCTTTGTGTTGAAATGCGAGCCGCCGTTTGGGTTCAGCCGCCGGGCAATATGTTGCCCCAACTTCAAAAAAAACCCTCGCCCCCAGCTCGCCTTGTGGTCAGCTCAGGCTCAGCTGCTATTAAAACTTTTACGACAAGTAGACGAAAAAATTACTTAATTAAAATGATTGACTAACAGAAAAGTTTGTGCGAAATCATTTTGACTTTTTTTTTCCTTCTCTCGCTCTCTCTCACTTGCTGCTTCTCTGTCTCTTTCTGTGGCGGATACTCCTAACTAGCAGAAATACTTTTCCGGAACAATAGTTCCTTCCGCTTGCAGCTGTCTCTTTCACTCACCCTCTCTATCTCTCTCTTGCTCTGCTTTTGCTCGCGCGTTTTTTGCTATTTTTTATTGTTTGCCTTTGGCCGCTGGCGCTGAAAATGTTGTAGGAAGCAGCGCGAATGGCTAGGGCCCACCAGGTTGGCTTGTTTCTTTCGTGGGCGTGGCAGACGTCTATGGGCTTAGATATCTGGCTCTCTGGCATAGTCAGTCGTCGGCATCTTGTTGTTCATCTAACAAATTAACGAGCGCCTCAAGTGTTGTGCGGTTTTTCTCTCCCTCTGCCGCTCCCTCTCTCTCTCTTTCTCTCCGCCTTGCTGGAAAAACTTTGAAGTGTTAATGAATTGCAATGGGTGTGGGCGTGGCCTAGAGAGGCTCCAGCCTCGTTTCGCTTCCAGGCAAATGCGGTGTAATGACCATTTGGTTTCTGTGGTTAATTTAGCTGCATGTAATTGAAATTATGATTTAATTGAATTTAGCTGCGTTCACAGCAGCGAGGCGAGAGTTGTGTAAAAACTTGTGCGGGGCGGTTGGCTGGCTGGCGCTAGAGGTAATGCGTCTCTGAGAGCATCTCAACTTCACTTTTCACTTTGAGCCCTTTCTGCTTCGTTTTAATTGCCTGCTCTTAATGAAGTACTGCATTTAAGCCTGCTTAAAATGCAGCTCAAGTTCGTTCGCTCTCGGAGCTTTAAATTAAGTATCTATATTTGGGCATATTATTTGGCATTAATTACTTAATTACAATAGCAAATGCTGCCAGAGGGCAAACAAGTGGATTCTTAAGCACTTCTAAGTGGGGTCAAAATTCAGTTGATTTTTGTTTAGATTTGCTTCTTGTTTATTCTATTTAGGGGTAGCTCTAAATAGCTCATAATTTATGCCCATAAATTGCAAATTTTATTTCCAAACTGCATTTATCTTCAGCTGAGACCAATAGGGAATACCCCTGCTTGTTTGTGAAAAGTCTTAAAGGCATTACTCATGCTCGAATATCTTTTCTTGATTAGTATAAATATGTTTAACAAGTCACATGTGCCCCAATTTTGACAATTGCAGAGTGGAATACCCTTAGTGCAGTGAGAAGATTTGTAAGAATACCCTTTATATTATATTTTATATTAATTCTAATTATTTTTATTTTAATAACAAATTTATTGCCATTTAGTATAGTAAATTTGAAGGGAATATCCCTACTTAAGTGAGGCATACGTAAGGAATACCCTTTATGTAAGGATTTCAACTATTGAAAAGTATTATTTTCTACTTCAATTATGTTTATCTAAGCTCTGAGTTTCTTTTCATGGGAATATCCCTAATGCTGCTAATTCATTAGCCTCACAAGTATGATAAGGAATACCCTTTATGCTCAGGCATTATTCATTAAAATTATTTTCTATTAAAATTACATTTATATCGACTCTCAGCATAAGCCGTGACTACTTTCAAGGGAATACCCTTGCTTTGC